TCAAGAGCTTCAACGCTACCAATTCTATACATGTAGTGTTTTCTCTCAATGGTCTACGGAAGTAAAACCGCTTAGTCTGATAAACAACCGCCGTCATGCTGGTGTGTGCACTTTAATTTGCTTACTGGTTTAATGGAGTTCCTGTTTGCCAACTAATGTTTGATTAATAAAGCCCTTGTGAGTTATAACATGTTTAATCATTATCAACCATTCCCGAGTGACGAGATCTCGAACCCCACTATAAAAGTCCCACAGGACTTTGTCAATACCGTGGCGTCGTGTTTAATTGAATGGAAGTGCCTATCATCCACCATGTAATGTAAGGTAATGAGCACACCGTATGATCGGTGAAGAGACAAGCATATCCTGAAATACTGACAGGCCTGTAGTGTCTTAAAACTAGTGTACAAGGACGTGGAGTCATCCGGCAGATGGCATCCTTACCTTGTCAGTGTTCTGACGGGCTTAACCTCCTTGGTTTTGTCCGTGCATACACATACTTTTGTCCTTGTATACGTAGCGTTTTTTCCGTGTATACACAGAGGTTTTGTCCCCGCGAACACAAAGTTTTGTCCGTGTATACATAAAGTTTTTTCCACGTATACATGTATTGTCCGTGTATACAGTACAGCGTTTTGTCCGTGCATATACAAACTTTTGTACGTGTAAAGAAAACGTTTAGTCCATGCACATACATACTTTGGTACGTGCATCCAGTTTTGTCAGTGCATAAATAATAACTTGTTCGTGCATATAAGAACTATGAAGATCCGGGGTAGAATAGGTCTTCAGCAACCCATGCTTGCCGTAAAAGACGAGTATGCTTGTCGTAACAAGGGACTAACGGAGTCGGATGGTCAGGCTCACTGACTTGGTTGATGCATGTCATCGACCCCAATTGCTTGGAACGATGCTCATGATATCAATCACTGTATTGTCTAGTCCAGACTCGATAATTTACAGACCGCCGTCATATAGCTGGAATATTGCTGAGTAAAACAACAAACCAACCAACCAACCGTGCAAATAAATACCTTTGTCCTTGCATATAAATACTTTTGTCCTTGTGTACACAGTTTTATATTTGTCCGTGTATATGACTTATACAAAACTTTCCTGGCAGACTAACCATGAGGCTGGATCCATTTAAAACAGGGTTGACATTGGCTATATTGCATGCATACGACGATCTCCCGGCAACGAGCTCGTGGCTACCGGAGGAGGCCAGTCCTTGTAAACATGTCCATCTAAGTGCACCATGTCCAGTAATGACCTATTGTCGAATACCGCTAGTTTCGAGAGGGCGTGCTTTAAATCGACAACATGTCCCATCAAGAGTGCTAATTGAATCGTAACATGCAGCTGAGACAGGTTCGACATTCATGGATTAGTGTGAATGCGCTCTATCAAATGTGATATTTGTCTCACAAAGTGAAAAGATTATTTTCTCAATAAGGATTATGAAACATATTTTGGGGAAGACATGCATACCCGTTTCCTTCATATTTGACGGGAAGATGTTTGAGGTTTCCATGGATGCCAATCAGATGGTTTGTGTTTGACCAACACTCTCAATGAGTTGGACCACCAAATCGTGGAACAGATAATTAGGTCTATGCAGTCAGTCAGTTAAGGTTATAATATATATTAGGGTAATTTCTATGGTCATGGTGAAGGTCAATACTGTCTTAAAGTAAAGTACAGATCCTAGAACAATGTGTCTTTGACGGTCTTGAAATATATCAGAGATCCCTCGATGATGTGTTTTGGACGGTCCACACTGTCTTAGTAAATACCAGAGATCACCCATTGGTGTGTTCTTGACGGTCCGTCGGGTCTTAAAGGATACCAGAGATCCCACAACGGTGTGTTCTTGACGGTCCACACTATCTTAGTAAATACCAGAGATCCCCAAATGGTGTAGTCTTGGCGGTCCACACTGTCTTAAAGTATACAAGAGATCCCCTAATGGTGTGTTCTTGACGGTCCACACTGTCTTAAAGGATACCTGAGATCCCCCAATGGTATGTTCTTGACGGTCCACACTGTCTTAAAGGATACCTAAGATTCCGCAACAGTGTGTTCTTGAGGTCCACACTGTCTTAAAGGATACCAGAGATCCCACAACGGTGTGTTCTTGACGGTCAACACTGTCTTAGTAAATACCAGAGATCCCACAACGTTGTGTTCTTGACGGTCCACACTGTCTTAGTAAATACCAGAGATCCCCCAATGGTGTAGTCTTGGCGGTCCACACTGTCGTAAAGTATACCAGAGATTCCCCAATGGTGTGTTTTTGACGGTCCATCGTGTCTTAAAGGATACCTGAGATCCCCAAATGGTGTATTTTTGATGGTCCACACTGTCGTAAAGTATACCAGAGATCCCCCAATGGTGTGTTCTTGACGGTCCACACTGTCTTAAAGGATACCAGAGATCCCCCAATGGTGTGTTCTTGACGGTCCACACTGTCTTAAAGGATACCTTAGATTCCGCAACAGTGTGTTCTTGACGGTCCACACTGTCTTAGTAAATACCAGAGATTCCGCAACGGTGTGTTCTTGACGGTCCACACTGTCTTAAAGGATACCAGAGATTCCGCAACAGTGTGTTCTTGGCGGTCCATACTGTCTTAAAGGATACCAGAGATCCCACAACGGTGTGTTCTTGACGGTCAACACTGTCTTAGTAAATACCAGAGATCCCACAACGGTGTGTTCTTGACGGCCCACACTGTCTTAGTAAATACCAGAGATCCCACAACGGTGTGTTCTTGACGGTCCATACTGTCTTAGTAAATACCACAGATCCCACAACGGTGTGTTCTTGACGGTCCACACTGTCTTAGTAAATACCAGAGATCCCCCAATGGTGTAGTCTTGACGGTCCACACTGTCGTAAAGTATACCAGAGATCCCCCAATGGTGTGTTTTTGACGGTCCATCGTGTCTTAAAGGATACCTGAGATCCCCAAATGGTGTGTTTTTGACGGTCCATCGTGTCTTAAAGGATACCTGAGATCCCCAAATGGTGTGTTTTTGACGGTCCATCGTGTCTTAAAAGATACCTGAGATCCCCAAATGGTGTGTTCTTGACGGTCCATCGTGTCTTAAAGGAAACCAGAGATCCCCCAATGGTGTGTTCTTGACGGTCCACACTGTCTTAAAGGATACCTGAGATCCACAAAGGGTGTGTTCTTGACGGTCCATCGTGTCTTAAAGGATACCTGAGATCCACAAAGGGTGTGTTCTTGACGGTCCATCGTGTCTTAAAGGATACCTGAGATCCACAAAGGGTGTGTTCTTGACGATCCCCACTGTATTAAAGGAAACCAGAGATCCCCCAATGGTGTGTTTTTGACGGTCCATCGTGTCTTAAAGGATACCTGAGATCCACAAAGGGTGTGTTCTTGACGGTCCCCACTGTCTTAAAGGAAACCAGAGATCCCTTAATGGTGTGTTCTTGACGGTCCATCGTGTCTTAAAGGATACCTGAGATCCACAAAGGGTGTGTTCTTGACGGTCCATCGTGTCTTAAAGGATACCTGAGATCCCCAAATGGTGTGTTCTTGACGGTCCATCGTGTCTTAAAGGATACCTGAGATCCACAAAGGGTGTGTTCTTGACGATCCCCACTGTATTAAAGGAAACCAGAGATCCCCCAATGGTGTGTTTTTGACGGTCCATCGTGTCTTAAAGGATACCTGAGATCCACAAAGGGTGTGTTCTTGACGGTCCCCACTGTCTTAAAGGAAACCAGAGATCCCTTAATGGTGTGTTCTTGACGGTCCATCGTGTCTTAAAGGATACCTGAGATCCACAAAGGGTGTGTTCTTGACGGTCCATCGTGTCTTAAAGGATACCTGAGATCCCTTAATGGTGTGTTCTTGACGGTCCATCGTGTCTTAAAGGATACCTGAGATCCACAAAGGGTGTGTTCTTGACGGTCCCCACTGTATTAAAGGAAACCAGAGATCCCCCAATGGTGTGTTTTTGACGGTCCATCGTGTCTTAAAGGATACCTGAGATCCACAAAGGGTGTGTTCTTGACGGTCCCCACTGTCTTAAAGGAAACCAGAGATCCCTTAATGGTGTGTTCTTGACGGTCCATCGTGTCTTAAAGGATACCTGGGATCCACAAAGGGTGTGTTCTTGACGGTCCATCGTGTCTTAAAGGATACCTGAGAACCCTTAATGGTGTGTTCTTGACGGTCCCCACTGTCTTAAAGGAAACCAGAGATCCCTTAATGGTGTGTTCTTGACGGTCCATCGTGTCTTAAAGGATACCTGAGATCCCCAAATGGTGTGTTCTTGACGGTCCATCGTGTCTTAAAGGATACCTGAGACCCACAAAGGGTGTGTTCTTGACGGTCCATCGTGTCTTAAAGGATATCTGAGATCCCTTAATGGTGTGTTCTTGACGGTCCCCACTGTCTTAAAGGAAACCAGAGATCCCTTAATGGTGTGTTCTTGACGGTCCATCGTGTCTTAAAGGATACCTGAGATCCACAAATGGTGTGTTCTTGACGGTCCATCGTGTCTTAAAGGATACCTGAGATCCACAAATGGTGTGTTCTTGACGGTCCCCACTGTCTTAAAGGAAACCAGAGATCCACAAATGGTGTGTTCTTGACGGTCCACCGTGTCTTAGTAAATACCAGAGATCCAACAATGATGTGTTTGACGGCCAATACTTATAGATAGTTCCACAACTACTTGTCGTGGATTCAGAAACACACATCGGCACACAATGATGAATTCTTGGTCAATGTTATATAAAAGGTTTTCTAAAGGTCCGGGTCTTTGAGATTGGCTGATTGATTTACCATATCTACAGAGAACTCAAAATGACATTTTTATGGCATTTTCCATTTACATGAACACAACCACATCTCACCAATCCTCAATACGATTTGTGTTCGGTTGGGGCGACCTTTATACGACTTCGTTATGTCCAATGTTCGTTGACAGAAAACGAGCAATAAAATAACAAAGAAAGGGTAATTGTTTCCATTTTATTGCAACGACAGATGTTTCAACTGTGATCAAACCTCATAAACAAAGTAAAATCAACACAGTTAATATATCTAATATATGTATAACAGCAATGGCACTGTCGTGGCACTAGTCTGACCAAACAGTTTTGTTACAAGAATTCCTCAGAAATACATTCCATAAATGGCCACCAAAATACATGAAGTAAACAACGTTCAACTTACCTTAATTATCATACTACCATAAAATGATTGTTCTGATGATCAAAAACATAAAAACACAGAAATGAAATACACTTTGACGTGTATTTGATCTGTTATGAATATATAATGTTGCACGCTGTTGTCTATTACAGCAGTAAACATGACGGTTCTCTTCACTTCATCACGCATATAGCTTTGGTCGAACAGTTGTAGCCAAACAGTACCATTGTAAGGTATTCTACATCAACATATATGAAAAAATATGTCTCATTTGCATTCAACAATAACCAGACACACATAGTGCTGATCAAATACACTTGATAACAAGGGCTTGCACAACTGACCAACTGAATATTACTACTCGTATAATACATTGAAATAACTATAGATTCATCACAGACATTATCCGAGCCTCGTTTTCGTATACACGAAAACGAGGCTCACCCTGACATGACATCACTGTTGACCAATGCATGGCTGTAACATGGACCACGTGGTGTCACTATATATAGTAACACAACTGAAAGGACTTACAACCTGTATAGGAGTGTAAGAATGAATTAGTTAATCAAACAATACTTTAATGGAATCGAATTTTAGGGTTTACGTAGGTCACGGTGAACATAAATTACTGATATTACCATTGCCTTTTATGACTGTGTCCAACTAACATTATTTCATGTTGCAGGAATACTTTAGCGCCTACGTCAACTCACGGTGATAAAAAGACTGAAAAAGTAGTGGGAAAGTTTCCACATCACATTTCTCTATAAAAACAATACCTTAGTATCCACCAATGAAACCTGTTCGGATCGGCTTGTCCTTTATGTGCGAATAAGTGAGTTTGGTTTTACGCCGCTTTTGGCAATATTCCAGCAATATCACGGCGGAGGACACCAGAAATGGACTTCATACATTGTACCCACTTCGGGAATCGACAGCGGGTCTTCGGCGTGACGAGCCAACGCTTTAACTACCAGGTTACCCATTCGTCGGCACTATTCCCTCATTCATCAAATACTTTTCACTTTCAGGGGGTTATCTTGCTCAGTGAGTGAGTGTGGTTATCACGCTTTAGCAATATTCCAGCAATATCACAGCGGGTGACACTAGACATTGTACCAATATGGGGAATCGAACCCAGGTGTTAGACGTGATAACCGAACGTTTTAACCACTAGGCTACATTATCTACCTCCCCTTCTCTTGCTCAGACATAACTGCATCAACAACCTGATTTCCCACTTCAAAGCTCTTATTTGAAATCTCAATAATCTTTAGGAAATCAGGTTTCTTAAGATTCAGTAAGTTATGAATTAAAAGATCGTAATACACACGTGGTTTTGGTCAGTGAATGTGACGTCATAAGCTAAACCTAACCCTCTAGTGTAGATCTCCATCTATCACTTCCACGATAATCACTGTGGCCTCACCTGAAAAGAAGTATATCAATAAATGAGTGTTGTCCAACAGAAATAAGTTAGCTACACCAGTTTTGTTTGCATCAACATAATATTTACATCTATGTTTGGGAAATATACAAACAGCACAAAACAAGTTTTGAAACATTCTTTTGTCATATGTACAAACAACGACACGACATCTGACAACACAGTTGTTTCTTTTCATTCATTTCCCTGAATTGGTTCATTGGATATATCAAACATGATATATACAGTGTGTGGTTCACTTCAGGTATATCTCAGTATGTCCAGGTAACTGATAATATCACTGATCCTATCACGGTAACAAAACATATTCCTCGTCACATTTGGGTCTTTGAGGATATCTTGTGGATATTCAGTTCTGGTGCTATCACATGTCATTCCAGTAGCTGATGGTATATCATAACCTCCGCTCTGTAGCTGAGAAAAACTGTTGGTGATGTCATCCGCAACATCATGTCACAGCATATCTGGTCCAGTTAGCCGTTAACATCTTCATCCGCGATCCAGTGAATCCGCATATTAGCGTGTTACCATATTCATCAGCTATGCTGGTCAGGAGACACATTTAACAGGACACCAGATCAGTTAGCACACCATCAGATAAACAGATACCATAATTATTTCATCAGCATATCCAGGCTCGTTGACACAGTATTCAGCATATCCGGGACGGTTAACATATTCGTTAGCATATCCGAGCAGAACTACATATCCGGGGTAGTGAGGATAACGATGTTTTTTTGTACTGCCATCCTTAGGTTACATTTTAACAGGCATACAATATCACTCATTCGCTACCATTTTGGCCTAGCACGTGTCATAATCAGGAAAATACTTTCATAGCAATGTACATATCTACAAACAGCATGATTATCAACACCGTATACATTTGTCATTATATATTACCCTATTATTTACAAAAATATACCTTACGTTATCATATATCGTCGTGATCAATATGCATCAAGGGAAGCAAGTGGCATGTGCGTTCTTGTTGCTGGCACACGTCGTGGCGTCATGTGAGAGCTACAGCACACGCGCATTGTCATAGTCTTAACGATTTGGGAGTTTATGTTCTGGACCAACGTTTTGCAGGGCTACTAATGGAAAGATTTAATGACAAAGGTAGAAGCTGGAGAAATAGAAAAGTCGAAAATTGATAAAATGTTGTGAGCATAGTTGCTTGGTATATTTACGATTCTACTGCATGTTCAGTCAGGCTATTGACTGTAGCTAGTTAATGCTTAATTTGTCTGCGAGCGTAGCAAGTTTATGTTTAAACTGTCTGGTAGCTGTAGCTTGTTAATGTTTAATTTGTCTGCGAGCGTAGCAAGTTAATGTTTAAACTGTCTGGTTGCTATAGCTAGTTAATGTTTAATCTGTCTGTGACTGTAGCTAGTTTATGTTTAAATTGTCTAGTTGCTGTAGCTAGTTTATGTACAATCTGTCTGTGACCGTACCTAGTTTATGTTTAAACTGTCTGATAGCTGTTGCTAGTTTATGTTTGAACTGTCTGGTAGCTGTAGCTAGTTTGTGTTTAAACTGTCTGTGACTGTAGCTAGTTTGTGTTTAAATTGTCTAGTAGTTAATCTAATATATGGTCAAATGTACAAATAAATTATCATAATGCTACGCGTGAAATAGCTATGTTTTCTCAGAATTAACAAGACCAACAAATCAACGTTTTAGTTGACGGAAGTTAGTTAGACAGTCCTGATTGAACTATTTCTCAAACACAGTACATTGCCTCGGATCCACATTCCTCCAACCCCCACCTACCTTAAAAAGAACAATAACAACCAAAAACTAAAACGAAACTAAGAAGCGATTATGAGAAGGTATCATTACTTTCATTCACTTGTATTTCAGAAGGTCAATTGTGTGAATAAAACATGTTCAAATCAAATCAAAATTAGTTTAATTCGTACGAACTAACTGACTGAACAAGTATTTTGCATGAGTATCTACAACATTTCCACGAATCCAGGCTTCCGACAGAGGTATTCTAGCAAGGCACTTCAGCCAATCACAGACACTCACAGTGGCGGGGGTTGGTCGGACCAATCAAACACTCCGACGTAACGTCACTTTAAGGTAATTCTGATTGAAGTATTCGCAGACAGTGTGGTTACTTCGATGCTCACAAAAGTGATCAATAAGCACAAGATCATTGATGTCAGACCGGGATTACGGCATAAGGTGATTGCGTTCAACACATAGTGGAAGAATGTTAACCTCTAGTTGGGCTATTACAACAGTGATATTCATATAAGAATAATGTACATGAAACCTTTTTCCGAAGCATTTAATAAAATATTGATATGTAATGATATACTGATACCTAACGGCTGCCCACCGTTAAATATTACAGCACGCCAAGCATAAAGGATCCGACGGGATATCCAGCATTGTTGTCAAGCATACCATTTGTACGAACGTCTTTATCATACCAATACTCCTCCGATCTAATGATCTACTCGGGCTGACCTATGGGGACGTGTCGAATCTGGCCACAGTCTGTAATGTCCAATTAGCGTGATACTAGAACTCTGGCATTTCCTACCAGCTTACACGTCGTGTGACAACAATCGATTTATATCTGGCGTTCCTTCTGAAACTTGGGATCCAAAACGCATTTATGGTATGGCGTGGTTTGTAAATGGCAGAATGAAGCATCATGAAAGCTGATATGCAGTTACTTGATAATTGTAGATTGTTTGTAAATAGATCTAAAGTATTGTGTTGTTTGTGATCTGAACCCATGAAATCATGCCAATCCTCTTCTAACATCCCATTGCATACTTTGATGTGATTTGCCATATTTTCATATTCAATTATAGTTTCTCCCGTTGTATCAGATGCGTCATGCTTTATTTTCACGAATGGGCAGTGAGGTAGCCTAGTGGGGAAGCGTTGTATCATCAAGCCGAAATCCCGGGTTTGATTTCCTACAAGGGTACAACATTACAATCTCATTGAAATGAAATTGCTGAAATATTGTTAATGGCGTCATACATCGTGATAATATTTCTTTCACAGGATATGTTTTCGGTTTTAATTGCCAATTAAAAACCAACATGATCATCTCAATGTATCTTTTACTTCCTTCCTCAGTAGCTTTTTATATATTATGTTTTCCAGCTTAATAATCTCTAATTTAGCAGCACATTGATAAGCGTAGGAATGATCAATCCGGAATCTCATCACAATCCACTTAAATGAACATTTTCCCTCTTGAGGTCATATTTTTACCAAAATAGTCCAAAGCACATCTTTCGTCTGTGAACAAAAACGAGGTCCCATAAATTCTAGGGTATTTTGAAATTTACACGATTCGGGGACTTTTTTCGTTTTTTCTTAGATGCAGAATTTAAGTCATTAAAGGAGCTTCGCCGAGAGGAGTCACCCTTATCGCTTTCGTTGTCTGACATGGAACGGCAATCATCGTAGGTGGGCACAGTGAGAAAGTTTATACTGCTAACAGTGTTCTCGTTGCTGGTGCATGTGCTACCTTCGTCATTAAGCACTGTGTTCCTACGCGCGAACTCATTGATCTCCATCTCCATGGAGGAGGAACTGACAGAGTCCTTGTCATCAGCTACTGATGCTGTGCTCATTACTAGCTTCACCAGTGTGTAGAACTTGGAGTCCTTTCGGCGTCTTGGGGCGAATCTTCCTGTAAAACAGATACAGGCAAATTGAAACTGACGTAAGGGTAGTGTATTATGTTGATGACACAAATTTGTGTTTTACACCTATATCTAAGTTATTTAGGTAAGAATATCTGGTTTTCAGCAAGATACTATCATTCTATAATTTTTGGCAATTTAGTTTACACTGGAAGAATTATACTGTCGATCAAAAGAAAGCATACACTTGAAATTGAACTTGACCAAAGACTTACACACGTTAAAAAAACGTTACTGGACTGGAAACAATCGCCAAAACACTTTGAGGTCCAAATCTCAACCACGATACCCGTATCAAATGCACCATAAACGAATAACTATTTCTTGTTTTCAGGAAGATATCTATGGATGTTAACTTCTATATTAGGAGGAACGTAACATTTAATAAACAAGTTGGCATCCATGAACTCTCTTCCTTACGTGTATCACTTCTAAATGCCTTTCAAAGACTCTTTCTTGTTTGTTTCATTTTAGCCACCATCAAATATGGGTCAAAACGTTCTTTTGCCCGGCACTTTATTTGGAAAAAAAGTATCGAAACAACATGGAATGAACGCCAATGCCAAACGTTTCTTATTTGGGATGACGAATAGTTTCCAACAACTGATGGTGGCTCGATTGCATTTTATCCAAAAGGGGAACGTACGTTTTCCCTATGTATTATTTCTATTCTTATTACATACAACTGGGTGTGCATGCATGTATACTCTTCAAAACAAGAAACGCAATACGGATATGTTTGGCTATAAAAGCAAAATTACTGGACCAAGTGGTGCAAAATGAAGAAGTTTCATGTGTTATAGTGTCAGTAACAAATTTCCCGGATCAAAATGATCCCAACAAGGACATGCAAACCATAAGTCGGGAAACACGTAGGATTCGGAAAATAACGCCCCCAGTGCATTAACAAAAGGGCCATGGAGCTTCACGTACTGGACGTGCAGCAGCACTATGAACCGTACTGAAGTGCAGGGGTTTTGATTGCATGGCATTAGCGTCAATCGAACAGTGACAGTTCAACAACATGCCAAGATTAACAGAAGTGCAAAGAAACAACGTCATAGGCCGCTTGCAGACAGGGAAATCCCGATCAGCTGTAGCCATGGTTTTCAATGTAGCGCCAAGCACCATCACAAGGCTATGGGATCACAGCATGGGTCAACACGTGATCGGCCATGGTCGGGACTACCAAGAGTAACCATCCCCGCCCAAGATTGCTACATCCGACTGCGCCACCTACATAAACGGACGATCACAGCCACCTTAACCGCATCCCAAATACCCAGACTGCGCGGAATCTCCGACCGTACGAAACCGTTTAAGAGCAGCAGGTCTACGAGCAAGACGACCTGTTCGACGCGTCGTATTGAGTCGACAACATGGTCAACAACGACTGCATTAGTGTTGTCAACACAGAGTATGGCCTCAACTACGATGAAGAGACGTCTGGTTCAGCGACGAATCAAGATTTCAACTCCGTCGAGGGGATGGAAGATCATGGGTCTACAGACGTTGGGGAGAACGTTACGCCGGAAATTGCGTACAGGAAGTTGGCAGGTTGTTTTGTTTGTTTGTTGTTGTTTTTTGTTTGTTTTGTTGTTGTTTTTTTGTTTGTTTTTTTTTTGGGGGGGAGCGTTATGGTGTGGGGGGATATTTCTCATCATGGCAGGACAGGTTTGGTCCATATCCAGGGCAATCTTACGGCTCAAAGATATATCAACGAAATTCTCCTACGTTGATGTTCTCCCTTGCACCAGTAGGATGAGTGGGCTACCATTCCCCAGGATGTGATTCGCATATTTGTCTCTTCCATGGGCAGGAGTTATCAGGCCGCTATCGATTCCAACGGGGGACATACGCGTTATTGATGGTAGCTGACCTTCACCTTGGACTTTTCCTATGTACCGATAACTAAGATGACAACAATCACCAAGTGTCCTCTCCACAACAGTTTGGCCCAATACCTTGTTCGGTTCCTCATATGAATGACTGTATTTTCGTACCTCACACAAATCTGGCTTTGCGTTTCTTTTTGTGAAGAGTATATCCTCAAGATAACAAAATGGTGTAAAAGGGCCACCTTGTGATTTGTTTGCTCCTTCAGTTTGTTTGTTTGTTTGTTGTTTAACGTCACACTCACCAATATTCTAGCTATATGACGTCAGCCTGTCAATAATCGAGTCTGGATCAGACAATCTATTGATTGATATCATGAACATCGATCCACGCAATTGGGATACGATGACATGCATCAACAAAGTCATCGACCTGACCGCCCGATCCCGTTAGCCGCCTCTTACGACAAGCATGGTTTGCTGAAGACCATTTCTAACTCAAATCTTGACGGGTAGTGTATAGGAGTCGGGGGTATTATTATATCATCATTATTACAGATCACATAAACATATTGAACGTTAAACACAATTACTGCTGTACGCTTAATTCGAAAATAATACTCAGACATGCAAGTTATAGCCAACATTTGATTCTTTTCACATATAACTTACATTCTTAAACACAGAAATCATTGTTATATTTGACAAGCGTAATAATATGTTTGTACAACTGCATAACTCTAAAAGACATTCATCTTGCAAGAAAATGTTATTTCTTATAAGAAAAGGCACTATGACAAACATCAATATTAAAAATGGAGATCATTTGTTAAAACTAAATAGTAATTTACATGTACAATTGCAAATACATGTGTATTGTATTATACACACTGACAAATCATATCGGTTACTTTGCCGCTGAAGAAGATGGATAGACAGACAAATGAAGAGTTACAGACTTGTGCATGATTGAAAATGTTGATGAAGTTGGCGGTGTAGATTATTCAGGGCTTATAAAGGGCATCAATGTGAGAGTGTCAGTGGTAGGCGTATTACGCCGCTTTGAACAGAATTTCAGTTCCATCACAAGGTGTCACTTTGGTGAAACCAGCACTGGTATAGTGCTGACAAACCAAGTATGACATAATCAGGGCAATTCTTGGATTCGAACCCCAATCATGAACATTGTTTGTTTTGTTTGTCTGTTGTTTAAGGTCGCACTCAGCAATATTCCAGCTATATCACGGCGGTCTGTAAATCGAGACTGGACAAGACAATCCAGTGATTGACATCGTGAACATCGATCTACACAGTTGGGATACGATGACATTTATCAGCGAGCCTGATCACCCGATCCCGTTAGTCGCCTCTTTTACGGCAAGCACGGGTTGCTGAAGACCTATTCTCCAGCCGGGTACATTCGTATGAAGACACAAGACAAGTATAAGTATTTGTTTAACAGTGACCATGCAACAGTATCCCTACATGTTTCCAATATATTTGTTACATCTGTGACATTCTTCAAGAAACTGTTGCAAGAAACTATAATCGGAAAGAAAAAATGAAAAGAAACCTAAAGCTATTGAATTCCGATTAAATGTTTCATAACTCTCATAGTCCTTGCATTTGAATTAGTAGAAATCATTGATAAACAGATTTGAAACTCAGTTATAACAGTGTATTTAAACAAAAAGCATATACTGCAAACTAGACTGAGATTATAATAGTGAAGTGAAACGTGCACGTGTTTTCAATAACGATGACGTCATAATAGGCTAAGCTGACGTCATAAGATGCGTGCGTCACTCACTTCAACAGCCTACTCGCTGTCCACACAAACTGGTAATCTGCGCATGAGACGGCTGTCAGGGAAAACCAACAAACAATACATAAAGTGTTACATAGCAACGACGGTGAAACGCACGTGGTGGTTGATATAAAAGTAGGATCGTGTTGCCGAATCGGGAGCAAAATATATCAGCTATTGAACTGTTTACATATGGAAGTTTGGTACTCTATCATGGCTCAAAATACCTCGCTGGCTGCAGGATCTGTTTATATATCGGAGCGAAAGTGTTAGAGCTAAATCATATACATGTACTCGAAGCTAAACAATACTTAGGTAAACCTGCATATGTCCAAAGGAAAACATCAGTTAAGCAAGATCTTACAGTGATATGGTTGTAGATCGATCACGTTACTTTCCTATCCCCCGGCGTAAAATACAGGGAGCAGAGAAGTATGACATGGGATGCAAAGGGTCCTGTGTTATTTGCTCCATGACGTCTTCGTGTTAAGCCTGGTGGATTGTGCACCAGCTCTGTTTGCTTAATACAGGCTATTGACGGAGAGTGATAGATTGGGTGAGCCACACACACAAAAAAAACCTTTTCGCTTAAAGGGAGACGCATGTTCCGAAAGGAACATTCCGTTTGAATTTTTTCGTCCGATTGTCAGTTCGTTTATGTTAACAAGCTTTACTTATGGTGCCAGACCATGTATTCCAAACTATCACCTTTGAATAGAGGGTAAAAAATGACTCATATGTTTCTCCCTCTTGTGTACTGAAGATAGAAGGGATACTTTCGTAGCTATAATACATGTTTATTTATGTCTTACTATTAACCTCTGGCTTAGCTGAGGGGCGGTCGGGTAGCCTAGTGGTTAAAGCGTTCGCTCGTCACCCCGAAGACCCGGGTTCTAGTCCCGACATGGGTACAATGTGTGAAGCCTATTTCTGGTGTGTCCCCGCCGTGATATTGCTGGAATATTGCTTAAAGCGGCGTAAAACCATACTCACTCACTCACTGGCTTGGCTGAGTCGCCAGCTTGAAGCAAATAAGTTACCAGTGTGATTAATGCGTTAAGACAAAACAGCCTTGAGGTATGCCATGGTACCAGCGGATATACTAATGTCATTGACAAGTCTGAACATTTAAATGCATTAACACAAGGAGCAACCTCCCTCTGTTAAAGGTAATTCCATTCCAGTGTTTTAGAACGCCTGGGCATGAGAATTATTGGGACAGAAACATCAGCTCCAATACCTAAATGCTTTTAAAGCCCAATAAATGTGCAACACAGGTGTTTTATGAGCGTTCCTTGGTGCTTTAAAAGCCTAATCGACTTAAATAACCTGATGTTTGGTTACGTAATAAGTGAAATGTGAAGATACCGCAAAATTGAATTGGCGTTGCCGCTACTCATAGGATCGATAAACCGGTTTTGTAGGTATCTTTTTCACATTTAACAAATCAATTGTATCCGAAGTGACTGTTGTTCCTTACGAGGTCACGTAAGTTTCAAACTGATGACGTCCCTCCCATTATCCCGAAATGAAAAAAACCCGGAAACTTTGAAATAAAAGGGAGCTTCAAATGTAAAATCGTATTAGGAAGTTTGGAAGAAGGGTTTTTGATGAGGAAACTGCAGCAGCCTGGCATTAATGAGAGGTGGTACGGAAGATGTACAACTTCCATCAAACTGCATTACACAAGGATGTTTCAGGATGAAATACTACCACTACAAATTAGAAAGGTATGTTAAGCTGTTCTAAACAGGTCTTACAAAGTCTCTCATCATCGTACGAGTCTTTTGAAAAACAATTTAAAGGTAATCTGTAGTCATTGGTTCTGTCCGGCATATCGTCCGGTTTTAATACTCGTCTACGATTTTCCGGATGTTAACTCCAGAGTTATCTTTTCCTGACTACATTTTTCATCCATTGTTGCTTACTTTGAACAAATCTTTTGCCTGACGTTTAAAAATAAAAAAAAGACTTTGTGACCTTGTCATTGTGAACTAAGCTCTGATGAGAAACATTGGACATATTACAAATGCACATATGTGGAATAGTCCATTGTAACAGTACATATGGTTTTAACTTACCCAAGAGGTTATCAAGCTTCCATTCCTCCAATCCTTCTTTAACACAAAAACTCCGAACATCTTGAAGGAGACCCTGTTTAGAGCAAGACAGAATGAGGTTATTAACCGAGGTAATGAATATTTCTATGCAATCACGCGAAAAACGAGGGCATCTCACACTGAATCGAGTTAAACAACCGGTCTGTTGTAAAGGCGAACAAAACTACGTTCTCTGGTGTAAGCAGGAACTATTTTCATACCGACAGAAATTAAGGCAGATCCGATACAGCAACATGACAATTCCTTAACCTTTTTTTTACATCAAAACAGCAAAAGAAAAAAAATATTTTGAAAGGGTTGAAAGGAAAGCACAGTGACACAATCCAGAACCCATGTTTTCAGTACAAACATACGACAGACATCCTTAAAAATTGACCTACAATGACGCGTGCTTTATTATTTATTATGTTTCTCAAGTGTCAGTATCGAGACGAAAATAATGCCTTTATGCCAATTCTTAAAACCAAAGTCCATGGTAGTAATGTCTTCTGTTAATTCCGTGGCATAACGTCCAGATGATTTGTGTTGAAATGTAAACAGTTCCGTGAGCCTCACGAAACATGACACCAACCTTGAGTTCGTCAACCTCGTTCCGGAGATTCTCGACAGTCTTGTCCAATTTTTTCTTCCGACTGTACAGCAGCCGTAATTTGACGTGCTCATGGTCGATCACAGCTACCAGCAGACCTGGTAATACATGATTGAGTTCATACGTACTCATAACTGAATAACTCAATAATAGCTAGCTAGGGAGATACAACCTCATCATGCCACAACCATCGTGATATCGGAAAGAATGACTTTCCGAATGTCGATTAACACCAGTGACAAATAGCAGGGCAAACAACAAATGTCATTAACTTGAAAAAAATGAACAGTTACTTTGGTTCTGGAAGACGGTATTTTACCAAAAAATAATATCCTTATTATTGAAACCATACATTCACAACGCCCACATACACAACACTGTTATGGATCGCTATTGTAATTGCATAAGGACTCATTTTCAGTACGAGCATCGGGTCTGGAAATAATAGCGACCAAATCCTTTCCATATTCATAAGACACAACTTCCGAAAGCAAAGTCGATTGTACGATTCCGACTATATCATGAGCATGTGTTTATGAATCACTATCAAATAGTGATGATTTCTGACGTATCCTGCCCCACCTGTGGCCCCCGTAACAAACACATGCAAGGGTAAGTCAATTGTTCATCTGAAATCACTCATTGTTTGTCAGTTGGTGATTGTAGGTTAATACGTCGACATAATCTTCCTCATCCCTACGTTCAGCATCCCTCAGATGATTATCTGGTCGCGAAACACATCATTAAGCATTGCGGAGACCTCAGCTTGATTTATTCTCCCATCAGATACTCCCAACTTTGTGTTTTTTTTGTCGATAGGATGTGATATGTTCATCATATAAAACCGTAGACCTTCTTTAGTTTGTCATATATCTCTACGTTCCCTTCCTAAGCATTCGTGTATGAAAGGGCCAATCCTCAAAATGTTTGTTCATCGATACATATATGTATAGCGGCGAAAAACTGAAACTAATCTTTACCTGCTCGGCCAACTTCGAGCTGAATCACACTACATATCAAAGGAAAGGATATAGAGTTAGATTGTGAAAAGGTTTTAAGACAATGAGTTCCTGTTGAAAACGATTGGTCAAACACAACCAACATACCCGAGAAGATCCGGGTAGAATAGGTCTTCAGCAACCCATGCTTGCCGTAAATGGCGACTATGCTTGTCGTAACGGGATCGGGTAGGCAGGATCGCTGACTTGGTTGATGCATGACATCGTATCCCAATTGCGATGATAGATGCTTATGATATCAATCACTGGATTGTCTGGCCCAGACTCGATTATTTACAGACCGCCGTCATATGGCTTGAATATTGCTGAGTGCGGAGTTTGTATGAAAGAGGTGTTTTATGACAGCACTAGATGAAAATGAATAGAGGGTATACAATCTCAAAACATCACTGTTCATAAAAACATGCGAAACAAATGCCAGATTACTTCAGCGATACTACCATGCTGAGCACATGAGGGACAAGACACCAATCGGTAGCCCATGTGTGACCACCCAACAGGAGGAATTCGGACCTACAGAACCCACCGCGGACTGGCCTTGACCCGTCATCATCGGCGAAGGAGACGCCAGTGGTCTCGAACTGTGCGATGAGATTGGTCAAAGGGTACTGGTCAGCTACGAGAGCAGGTTTAACGTGTTCCACCCTGATGAGGGGCGGTCGGGTAGCCTAGTGGTTAAAGCGTTCGCTCCTCACGCCATGATATTGCTGAAATACTGCTAAAAGCGGCGTAAAACCATACACACCCACACCCCATCCTGATGGTCGGACGTGGGTGTATCCATGATTGGCTTTTGGATGCATCCGATGATGCCAACCTTTTTGAGGCGGTGGCATCTTGGTGTGAGGCCTGATTTGTGGTGACAATAAGACACGTCTCATCATCCTCCAAAGACATACATTTATGAACGCCAAACGTCAAAGGGTACTTGTCAGCGACGATGGCAGATTTAACGTGTTCCACCCTGATGATCGGATGCGTGGGTAACGACGATTGGCTTTTGGATGCATCCGATGATGCCAACCTTTTTGAGGCGGGGGCATCTTGGTGTGAGGCCTGATTTGTGGTGTCAGGAAGGCACGTCATCCGAGGACATACATTGTGAACGCCCAACGTTACAGAGATGCCATTCCGCAGCCTTTCTAAGAAGACAGCCCCAAGGGATACTGCTCCAACAGGACAATGCCAGGCATCACGCTGCTAAAATAATCCTTGGCCGTCTTGCTCACCCAACTTCTCACTGATAGAACATCTCTAGGAACATCTTGCGCAGTAGATAATACAACGTCCAAGCTTGTGAACAAAGTACTGCAGCTGGAACGTGCGTTATTGGAGGAGTGGGGCCGCATACCCAATAAAGGTCACACAAGACATAGATGCCATTACTTGAGGTGCTATGGAAGTGTTCAGAAGCTTTCATCTATTTTTTGGTGAAAAGTGACAGTTATGCCTCGAGATGTGTTTCATTGCTTTTTTAGCTTCATCCCAAGTGCCACGAATTTGTTGTTTTTGACTTGTTGTACCATTTATGACTGAACAACAAAATGTTTTTCAAATGAATTGTGTACATTTTCTTTTCTTTTTATAAACAGTTCGAGTCGATGTATACTGTCTATTGATCAGAAGTATTTTTAAAATGATTGCCTGGAATAAACCTAGCCCTTCCCGCGTGACTGAACGTTTTACAATAAGCCAATTCCGATCCATAACATAAAGAGTCTTAACACACTTTTAATGGCCTTAGGTCTACTTCAATCACAATTGTGACAACTGATAACCCAAAACCTTAATTCTACAACTTTCATTTTCAGAATGGGCGTCACGTAACTAAAATTATTGCTACACATACACGAACAAGACACGAATCCAATTCTCTCAATATTTCAAGTCTGATAGTTCTGGGTTAAACTGCAATTAACTTACATAAAAGTGACATAGCTGATCATGTCTTCCCGACAAATAAGTTGGAAAAATGCATTTGTTTTGAGCATGACAAGCACTGAACCAATTGAACCAGACAAATCAATATCACGCGAGGCAATAATCTGAAAAGTTATGGTCAAAACGACCCCTAGTGTCTGAAAGACGATTACTATGGCAATGCTGCCTTCATTGAAACTTCATTCAAAATGTACCAAACAAATCAATTATGATCAATTATCATAATGTCAAATTATTACAGTTTATCCTTAAATAATTTATCTTTACTACATTCATAATCTGCGTATGTACATGTGGGATACAGCGTATTGGTGTTAAAATGGCATCTGCAAGAAAGTATAAAATAATGTATCTTTACTACATCCATAATCTGCGTATGTACATGTGGGATACAGCGTATTGGTGTTAAAATGGCATCTGCAAGAAAGTATAAAATAATGTATCTTTACTACATCCATAATCTGCATATGTACATGTGGTATACAGCGTATTGGTGTTAAAATGGCATCTGCAAGAAAGTATAAAATAATGTTACCCCAAGCCAGATTCTCCTACAACGACAATATGCCGGTTAAGATGGAGTCTTTTATCGTCGGGAATGCTCGAAAGTGTGTGGGCGTGGTCAGTTTCGGATTGGTAAAGGGGTTGGAGGTGTCTTTAGAAACATAATATTTTGACGTTATTTTATGGTCGGTAGGAACGTTTTAAGAAGAAAGGGTATTTATTATAGTAAAAGAGTTTTATCTTTTATCTGCCAATGTTATTTACCAAAAGCTACATGTTGTGTTCAGTGTTTTTTTTATTTACTTTGGGAATCTCATATTCGCATGTCAGTGTCAACTATGGGTTAAGAAGAGATGGGTTTTGAAGTCCACGTCTCAACATCAGGACAGTTCGCCAGATATAAACAACGTATCGCAGTTGTCTGAACAGACGACCAGATGGAAAACTACCCGGAAGTAGCTACATCTAAGAGTTTTAACATACTTAGTCCATCTGTTCTCTGAGCATCAGACATCCCAAACATAATGACGCAAAGATATATCATGTCATCTGAAAAATCACCATTTCATTTCCAGACCAAACAAATGGGTTCAAGTCTCACCGTCAATAAAACCCCTTTCCCCGAGGAAGTCTCGTCCCGAGTCCTTCATACATGACTGGTCGGAGAGGACGCCAGCAGTCAGAAGTGTCTTCTAGCTTATGTCAGGCCAAATGGCGTTTGACTGCCTCTTCTCTTGGGAGAGTCTACAGAAGTCAACCGAGTGGAAACACTGGCTAATTGGGGACTAGCCTCCAGTGTGTCATCCCAGGGTATGGATGAAGTTTCGTTTGATGTGCAGACAAATGGGACAAACCAACACTCCTACTCGCTGCGGACTCTCGCTGATTGGGTTTGTGGAACACTCCCTGTTGCTTTAAAATATATACGTCTAAACCTGGTTTGTTAAGCATGTGGTAAACATGAAAAATCACTTATTGGATTGGCAGTTCTAACTTAGTTTCGTCACCAGATATTCATCTGGATGATGTTAATCGTGGGAAGGAGGAAGATTACGTCATCGTATAGCACTATATGACAGGAGAACATAGTTCCACAGGAGAGATTTATGGATCCGCGCTGCTCTAACTGAGGAAAACAGGACTCCTTATGCAATTAAAAGGGCGATCCATGACATCAGTGTGCGGAGGTTGTGTATGTATGGCATCGATGATAAGGATGTAATGTTGTTTATGTAATATACCGTCATGCGGTACCGCAGTGGCTGTTCGTAGGACTTAAGCTAATGACATTGCATCTTTGAGAAGCATTCATAAGTGTGGGTATATAGATTCCCGAAAAGAGGTTTCAACAGTTCAGTCTGTATATCGATGTACGCTAGATGTATACGGAACTGAAACTCCACTTCTATGGAATAAGAATAATAATAAAAATAATAATAATAATAATAATAATGTATATGGAACTGCAACTCCACTACTTTGGAATAATAATAATAATAATAATAATAATAATAATAATGTATATGGAACTGCAACTCCACTACTATGGAATAATACTACTAATAATACTAATACCAATACTAATAATAATAATGTATTTGGAACTGCAAGTCCACTACTATGGCATAATGATAATAATGATAATAATAATAATAACGAAAAATATGTATACTGAAACTAAAAGCCACCACCTTTTCGAAGAAAAACATTTTAAGCGGCTTAGGTTTACGTTCAAACTGAAGCCATAAATTGGAAGCGACCAAAGCCCAAACCTACATATAAGAATCTGCTTCCGTTTGTTCAATGTATCCTGCTTCATTCAATACTGCATAAACGTATGTTAAGAAAACAGACAAAGCTTCTTCTTGTGCGTATCATTAAACATTAACATAAAGTTACACTACAAGTCACAAATATCGTGCATCAACTTTGTGCACTAAGATCCAGCGAGATGGCTCTATGTGAAAGTTGATTGTTTCGTGATAAAGCTGAAAATACCAATTTTGAGCGCAGGATAGAAATAATTTGAAGTAATAACTACTACACGGTGTCCTCATTCGAAAACTATTTGCAAAGTTCCACTACAGCAATATAATGCCTGGCGAAACGCGTGATATAATTAACCCTCCTACCCCTGAGAGAAAATGTTTCCAGCGCCGAATCAGACGGCGAAGGCCATCTCGTTCTGACCGAGAACTCCGTCATCTACAGTTCTCGTGGTAATGGCCAGTCTCATTTGCCACAGGCCGCATAAACTCACTCGAAGACAGTGATGCGATTCCTCAAGTCAAAATCGATATATCTGATGACATTTACTTTCCCCCGACATGATTGTCCGTGTTGAGTTAAAAATAAATCCGTGCTTTTTTCCCAAGGTTCTTTATTGCCATGAGGTGGCTAAAGGATCGGATGACGAAGTACATGTGGGCTTGGTCTCCAAGGAAAGTTTTCCTGTTGCAATGTGGGTTGGAAACCGGTTTCTAATCGACCTTACCGACTCGATTTCTTAATATGCAATAAATTTGGCAGTTCTGTACTGGAATGTATCGAATCCTGATCACGGTGTTAGGGAATGGTAATTTATTACAGTGGTGGGAGGAGTAACACGATGAAATTGGAGGATTATAAAAATATCACCGCCAACATTTATCACAACAATACGGGGCATGATAAAGCGTCAAATACATTTTAATACAAATTCGATAATTACTTAGGGTCTGATAGTTTATTAAAAGGAGAGGATGATTCAGAATGAGGAAGAAGAGGAAGAATAAGTGTTACATATAAAATGGGGGTGTGGGGTGGGTGGGGAAAGGCAAAATGTGACATAGTCCTGACCATAATAAATGACCAGTCCCTAAGCCAGATGACCCTCCCATTCGTTCCAACAAAGCGTTATGGCAGTGGTCAAGGGAGGTAACTTACTATTTACGACACGTATAACTCTCCAGGGAAGGAGGAAGGCGAGTATAAATATGGAGTCATCGATAGCGAAGTCTGCAAGCCCCTTGAGGAACACCAGATCGACAATGAAGGACGCAAGGATGATGAGTGCATCGAACACCTGCAAAGACATTGAATAATAATTACCGTTTCATTTCATTAGTGTTATTGTTCTGATGCAACTACGCATACGGGTGACACGGGTGGCCTAGTCGACCCAAGAACTGTAATAAGTTGTACAGACTTTTTTCCTTAGTCCTGCATCACTTTGGGCTTTCCTCCGCATTAAGCTGACCTGCCGTGATTAAACTGAAATACTGTTCAAAGCGGTGATAAACAAAACTCCCGCACATTCAGCCACTACTTGGCTTTGTGCACCTTTCATTTGTTCTTTATATGAAAGGACTAAGTCAGTCAAATCTGTCTTGGTAAGACATTCAAAAACACACTTCGTCTGCTGCCTCAAATGATGTAAAATGTCATCACACCTAACAGAAGAGAGAGATAGAGAGAGAGACACAGAGAGAGAGGGACAGAAAGAGAAAGATTGGTACTTGGAGTTTTAGTGTTTAGGTAACAGTTTTCCATGACCCTCTCACCACACTTCCCCCGCCCTTGTAATACATGACTAGTCCTTAAAATAACTTTTTAGTTGAAAAATAGTACCATGTATTTTTTCATGCCTCCCTCCCCTATTTGGTGTGATACGTATTGGCGACCCCTTCTTTCGCTGTGTTATTTTATCATTGCCCCACCCCACCCCATAATCTCTTATAGAGTAACCTCGCTTGTCTCGAATTACTGATAACTCGAAAATAAATGCGTTGCTCACGCAAACTTAGAGTAAACAAGCCTTCAATGTTCAAGGCCATTCTAATTATTGGTTTGGTTCCACACCGCTTCTAGCCGTATTCCAGTTATGACCCGGCGTGTTTATTTGATGTGGGAGGAAAGCCAGCGGTGTTGCCAATTTTAGACATTTACCACTTTGGTAAAACCGAACTGGAACTGACAAACCTGGAAACATTAGCGGGGCGAACCGGGATTCGAACTCACGATCATAGGTTTCTGGCGTGCCCAAGTGCGGCATCTCTACACAATGAATTGCGGTGTCCTAGGCGACTCGGCCACACGTGCCCCCATGACTAGGAGCAGACATGGACCGCAATGTATTTGAATACGCCATGGTCTCCATCCAGTCTGTGGTGGTTTCCTGGTTGCCGGCGGCTACGCGGGCACCTCTGAGCGTCTCTGATATGTCACCTTGAAGCTGTCGAAAATCTGCCACATTTTGTGGTATTCCAAGTCTAGGAAACACGCAAGAAATCAATCCGTAATTTGCCAATTATCACCTGCGTCAAGGAGGCTTCTAATAACTTTGACCTTTAACAGATATTGATTTTATATCTTGAAACAAAATCTTCTAAGAATCTACCTCCATGCGAACTGTCTCATTATAAGGTTAAATGTGGAACTTAACATTCCGTCTCTCTTTGAAAATGTAAACTCACAGGACAGTAACAGTGAGAAACACATTTGAAATGATTGCTGTGGTTGAAATAATTGTTTGATGATGTTAAAAAGAGTCTGAATTGACCAACGTTGCCACAAAAATAAAAACGAATTTAGAAAAGTAAGGTTATGATAGTCATAAAAAATACGATCATGATTATGATCAAACATATTACTGACTCAAGACGCGTGAAGATCCGGGGTAGAATAGGTCTTCAGCAACCCATGTTTGCCGTAAATGGCGACTATGCTTGTCGTAAAGGCGACTAACGGGATCGGGTAGTCAGGCACGCTGACTTGGTTGATGCATGTCATCATATCCCAGTTGCGTAGAGCGATGCTTAATGAAGTCAATCACTGGATGGTCTGGTCCAAACTCGATTATTTACAGACCGATGTCATAAAGCAGTAATATTGCTAAGAGCGACGTTAAGCAACTAACGGCGACTAACGGGATCGGGTGGTCAGGCACGCTGACTTGGTTGATGCATGTCATCGTATCCCATTTGCGTGGATCGATGCTCATGATGTCAATTACTGGATTGTCTGGCGCAGACTCGGCGTTAAACAAACAAACACAAAAATATTGACCCAAACGAGGGACAATGTTAACTCTTTCAGCAACAGATAACTGAAGTACAATGTATTATATTATCGTCACATCCACGTTGTGACAGCAAGCCCTCGTTCAGCTGTTGCTAATATTTTGGGATGTGATAGCCTACTGGTTATAGCGTTCGTTTGACACGCATAAGATCCTGATTCGATTCCCATCTTGAGATCAGTATGTGAAGCTGGAAAGCCGATACCGTGATATTGCTGTGGAATGATGCGTTACGGGGCATAATATCCCACACACTCATTCATTCACTCACCACTGTGGCAAACACTCGTCTTAAATATCCATACATTATCCAATATGGCCGCCAAATCATGGGAATTCCCCCGGGTGCAATGGCTTGTTTTCAAGGTGTAGGCACAGAGAGTTGAAAGGGCTCGAAAGATGTTCCCACAAACCTACACAAACGTGACACTTCGCTTTACATTTTTCTTACATAATTTCTTATATTTGTTTTCGTCTACAGAGACTCGTCAAATGTATGGAGACTGATCAGTTGGAGAATACTTTCATGTTTTCACGTCTGGAAACCAATTATGCCGTTACAATCCCATTGTTTTATTAGCAAGAAACGGATTCAACACAACGTACACTTGGTATCCAGTAATTGCACACTGAAGCCCAAGTTACAAATAAGTATCAGGTATATACATTCACGTCTTCATCAGAATCAATAGGATCGTAAGCCACGTCTGTGGTAATCCTATGGAATGTATTGGCACGATGCGGATCTACTGTTCGTTAACTGTGACAATGGATTTCACCTAATTGCACCCAAACCATTGTGTGATGGTTTCAATTCTCCTCAGCTTAAGTGCAAATCACTGTGCCAGTTTCAACAGGATCCCGTCAAATCTCCATAATGACCCTGATATCTTCGAGCTGCCACGTTTGGCCTGTTTGAGTTTCTTCAGCCATGACCTTGGCGTCTGGGCGAGAAAACTGCCAATGTACTTATGTTGGCTTTGAACGTGTACTGGTAGGTCTGTATAACTAGATTTTCACATAACGAGAGCATGGGTGCTTTTAATGTCATGACGGCAATATAACATCAATTTGGGGTCAGATCTACATACACTGTACACGTAAACGAGGTAATCTTTTAATTGACAGTAATTATGAGTTTACAAGCGTCAAAACCCTTTTCATTATCACAATCAGAATCCATTGTTGGAATCTGACTATATCATAGCATTTGTTTATGAATCACTAGCAAATAGTTGTGATACCTGGTGTTCGCGAAATGACAAGTCAATTGTTGAACATATTGTACAAGTCAAAACAAAGAATTGCATTTGACTTTTTTTGGTCACTGAAGCTTCAAATTTTGAAAGGCCTTAACCGTGATCAAACAACTTTTGAGCAAGACTCGTATGAATCTGTACGCATGGATCAAAATATGAAACAATAAGGCTGTTTCACTAGTTTCATTTTTTTTAGCTCTGGATGGTAAATCAGTGAACGGGAATAGGATATTTGTCAATTATTAACGATATGAGATTACGATATACCTTAAATTTAATTTAAACTTTATGGCCAAATTCCCGTTTTTTCAATGTTGGCAAACACAATTGGTGTCCCCGGGATGTCTCATTCTTGCCATAATATCCTGTCTTATGTATATAGCATTACGTGGCAAATATTCCTTTCAGCTCTTTCGTTATATTTTGTTTGATGCTGATTGGAATATATCGAATGTAAATTCAGTCACTTCCTCCTCAAAAACAGCAAAGGGGGCTTTCACTACGTTGTTAGAACACGAGAGTGGCTCAGCTAAATAATTGTTTCTTAATGGGATAACAAGTCCCCTTGTACGAACACGCTTCTCACGAACTAGCGGATGTAACGAACTTCTTATTGGTCCCGTCCATTTGCTGTATACATGCTTATAACGAACTACGGTTATATTGAACTAAAATTATTGGACCCTTTGAGTTCGTTATAACCGTAGTTTACTGTAGTTACATGTCTCTTTATCTTATGCGTTTATTGCCTTGAAGTCAGGTGGCCAACGTCTCCTGGGCGCCGCAAATCGCCCCTTTGGTTTGACCGAGTCGTATGATCGTGGGTTCAACTCTAAGATTCGCACTGTTTGTGGTTTATCAGCAACATAAGCATCCTCGTGGGTTTTTTTACCATAGAGATCTGCATGATTTCCTCATTCAAGTGACATAATGTGGCATGATATGTGTGTTAGTTTGTTTGTTGCTTAACGTCGCTCTTAGCAATATTACAGCGACATGACGTTGGTCTGTAAATAATCGAGTTTGGACCAGACAGTCCAGTGATTGACATAATTAAGCATCGACCTACGCAACTTGGATATGATGACATGCATCAACTACGTCAGAGAGCCTGACCACCCGATCCTGTTAGTCGCCTCTTACGACAAGCATGGGTTCTTGAAGACCGCTTCCAACCCGAATCTCCGTATGTTGCGATATAACTGAAATATTGTTGAAAGCTATTTTAAATGAAACTCACTTCAAGTTAAGCTCTCTCATTCACGTGCTGTGTTCTATCTAAACTGAGGAGGAAAAGGAAGTATATCGAGGTTTTTTTTATGTTAATGAAATTGAAAAAAAAAAGTTGTTAAATGTAATTATGGTTATTTAACCATCACTCATTCCTGCAACAGTATATTAACAGTAATCTGTGGCTGGGTAACTTGGTGCAAAAATAAATTGTTTCAATGAACACTCGGGTAAGATGTAGATCTTCAACCACAAGACCCCCACGCTGTTTCAAATGTAAATCTGTGCCGAAAAGAGCAGCTTTATTCATTCATTCATTCATTCATTCATTCATTCAATCATTCATTCATTCATTCATTATCTACAGATTAAGTATAGATCAGCGTAAGTAAGAAGGTATAAATATCTTCTATGAATGCTTTATTATTATTATTATTATTATTATTAGATTAAAATATAAAATGCAGCAAAGAGGGTTTGGGTGATCCTGGCACAGTCAGGCTGGTAAGACTCATC